TCATGGGTGCCTGTGTTTTGTGTGGGGATGAGGCAGCTCTTGAATGAGCCAGCCTGTTGTGGGGATGACACTGTGTGCCCTTGAGAGAAGTAGTGAGAGGTGTGTGTGTGTGTGTGTGTGTGTGTGTGTGTGTGTGTGTGTACGTGTGTACACACAGAGACACCCCTGCCCAGGGTCAGGCCGGAGCATTGGGTGGATGTGGGCACGGGTAGGAGAGGGTGACCTGGGGAGTGTGGGGCAAGGCCGGGCAGGAGAGCCCCTGTCACCCTCCTGACCCCGTCCTCCCCGGGACAGCCATGGGGTCTCATTGGTGCCAGTGATGGGAGGTCCTTGAGCCTAGGTTCGGACGTGGCATGGACGTGGCATAATCTGTACGGACAGGTGTGCGGTGAACACGTGCTAATATAGCGTGGGATGGCAGGCATCCGGCTGTGCGCACCCAGATGGGACACTGTGTGTGTGGTGTGTGAAGTGCGTCTAGTGGTGTGTGTCCAGAGAGAGTGTGTGCGTGCACCAGGGCCTGCTGTGTGTCTCGACTGTGTGCACAGGTGTGTGCTACACGGGTGTGTGGTGTAGGGAGGTGTGTGTCCCCAGGGTGGGTGCAGATGGAGTGTTGGGGTGTGTGTGTGTGTGTGTGTGTGTGTGTGTGTGTCCGGGTGTGACGTGTGTGCCTGTCGGGGTGTGTGCGCGTGTGCGTGCAGGGGGCCAAGGGAGAAGGGTCTTGGGCCGCATCTCTCTCCTCTTTAGACAGAGCCCCAGAGAAGATATGAAATTTAAAAAAAAAATCAATTTTCATTCCACTTGTGCAGATCGTGTTAAGGGGAGGCGGCGGTGGGGGGGGCTGGGTGAGGGATGAAGGGGCTGGGGTGAGGGTGTGAGGCCCGAGGCGGCTCCCGAGGCAGCCGGAGCAGCTTAGAGAAATCAAAACAACTGGTTAAACCCCAGCCCAGGGGGCCGGGGTGATGGGGGCCTGAGGAGACAGAGGCAAAGAGAGATGGGGAGAGACAGAGAGGGACAGAGACAGGGAGAGACAGAGACACCCAGAGACAGAGACAAGAAACAGAGACACTCAGAGATGGAGATATTTGGAGAGAGAGGCAGACAGAGAGATGGGGCCACAAAGACCCTGAGAGAGAGAGAGACAGAGAGAGGAGAGACACTGACACCCAGCAGGCCTGAGAGAGGCTGGGATCTGTCTCTAGTGAGACAGCAGCAGAGGCAGGCCTGGGCCAGTGCGCGCCTCACACACGTGCACACGCAGGGGCAGGGGCTGGCTTGGGACATCCACAGATGGATGGGTGGATGGACAGACAGCTGGACAGATGACGGCAGGAGCATCAGGACCCCAGGGTGGGGTTATCTCTGAGTGCCCAGCCCACCCAGTTGGGCTGTGGGTCTGAGTGTGGCTCTGTGTGTGTGTGTGTGTGTGTTTGTGGCCTGGCGGTGGCTGGCTGTGCTGGCGTGGTGTGTGCACCTCCGTCTCCTTGCGTGACGGAGCACGTGTGCACGCAGGGCCTCTGGTGCTTGTCTGTGTGACTCGTGTGCTCTCGTGTCACTTGTGTGTGACTGGCTTGTCTGTGCTGCCGTGCGTGCCTGGGTGTGTCTCTGTTTCTGTGTGGCCCCGTGTCAGCGTGTGATGGTAGGTCTCTGTGTCTGTATTTGATTGTGAGCCTTGGTGTAGGAGAGTGTGCCTCTGTTAGTGTGTGTCTGTCTGTGATATATGGTTGTGTCTTTGTTTCTGTAGGGGACTGAATGGCTGTGTGTCAGTGCATATCTGTGTATAACTGTGTGTCTGTCTCTGGGTTGATGTCTATGACCAGGATGGTGTGTGTGTGACTATTTTCACACGCGTGTCTGTCTGTTGTGTGAAACATGGTGGTATGTGTGCCTGGGTGGCTGTGTGGGTCTATGTGATGTGTGTCAGTTGTGACAGTCTTGATGTGTATGAGTTTGTGGACATGTGCCTCACACATCTTTGTGCTGTGTGTTGTGTGTGCCAGTGTGGCGTGTGTCACTTTGTTGAGCTGTGGCAGCGTGGTGCGTGTGCCTGGGTCGGCGTGTGGGTCTGTGTAGCTGCTTTGCAGGGAGAGGAGGAAGGGCCGCTCTCGCCCACCCAGCCCCTCTCCACACTGCTGCGCGCACACGCACACGCGCACACACACATATTCGGTGCCATGGCTGCGGGCGGTGGAGATGGGGGGCGGGGGGTGTGGAGGAAGCAAAATAAAATTAAAAATTAAAGCTTGCCCGGAGCCCCCATCCGCCCCGCACGGACTGCCGGGGAGGGTCGGGGTTGCGGCAGGCAGCTCCCCCTCTGCAGTCACTGGGGCTGTGTGTCCGTCCTTGTGTCCGGTGTCCTGCCAGGCCCCTGCCAGGGCCGCAGCCCCAGCCCCGCAGGCCCTGCTCCCCCACATCGGTCGATCTGCGATCAATGGGGCCAGGGGGGCGCCAGGGGCAGGGCGAGATCAAAGGGGCCCCAAGAGACGGATGCTGGGACAGAAACAGAGATTCGGAGACGGGGAGACAGAGACAGAGAGACATGGAGACAGGGATGTTGGGAGGAGAGATGTGGGGACCCAGAGACATAAAAACAGGGTGGTGTGGAGACGCAGAGACGTGAGGACCCAGGGACGGAGAGACATGGGGACCCAGAGATGCGGCGCTGCACCCCGGACAGTCAGGGCAGACATGCAGGGAAGGGGACAGAGCCAGAGGGGGTGGGGGCCGGTCCCCGTGGGCCTGACAGGACACAGGAGGGGGACAGAGACGGGAGAAGAGGCAGGCAGAGACCTCGAGATGGCAGAGATGCGAGCGGGAGAGAGATGAGGGGGGAGCGTGGGAGCAGGCCCCGGAGCGCCGATCCCACGGCTCCTCGTTATAACGTGTCCGGAGGAGGCGGCGGGGAGTTGAAAGCGTTGGGAAGAGAAATCAAAACCAACACGGAAATGAGAGGGGCCAATAGGGGGTGGGGGTGGGGGGGGGTGCGGAGGCAGGAGGGAGGGGGGCCCGGAGAGGCAGGGAGAGCTGGGGAGGTGGGAGAGAGGTGGACAGGGCGAGGTGCGGGGGAGTCGGGGGACAGAGGGAGATGGGGAGGGAGGTGGGGGCAGAGAGACGGAGAGAGTTAGAGAGGGGAGAGGAGGGGGGAAAAGAGACAGATGGTGCAGAGAGAGTGAGAGATGCAGGACCTGGGGAGACCGGGGGAAAGAGACAAGAGAAGGGATGGGGGACGGGGAGGGACAGACCTGGAAAGAGATGGGGGAGCAGACTGTGGAGGACGGAGAAGTAAGGAAAGACTGAATGATGGAGGGAGAGAGAGAGAGACAGACGGGGGAGAGAGCTGAGTGGAGAAAGGTGGGGAGAGACACCCCAGGTTGAAGGGAGACAAGGAAGGAGGGAGGAGACAGAAAAATGGAAAAGAGATAGTGGGAGGAGACAGAGAAGGGAAAAGAGAGACAAAGAGGGAGAGAGAGACAGGGAGGGAGAAAAACAGAGAAAGTTGGGGAGCTGGGGTGAGATGGGGGTGTGGGAGCGAGGGCGGAGGGGCTGCCCCCAGGAGGGTCTGAGTGCTGGAGGGAGCGAGGGGAAGGAGCCTCCGTAGACGCGGGGCTGGGGGCTGGGGTGAGGGTGGCCGTGGGAGACCGGACAAGTGTGAGGGCCAGTGGGCTGCCAAGTCCCCTCTGGTGCCCAAGGGGTGGGGTGGGGCTTACGCGGGAACAGTGTGTGTGGGATCTTCTGAGCAGCCGGGCGTGTGACAGGGATGGTGTGTATAAGAGTGTGTGACGGGGAGGGGTGCGGGGGTATCGAGGGGCTTGTGTCTAAAGGAGGGAGGCTGAGGACAGCGCGCCCTCTGAGAGGTGGGGTCTGGCGGGGTGGAGTGGTGAGAGGCAGAAGGATCTGGGGGTTGGGGTGTCTGGGATGGGCCTCTGACAGGAGCAGATGTCTGAGGGTGTGGGTGACCTAGGGTGAGGTCTGGGTGGTGGGGTATCTGAGGCAGAGGGCTGACAGAAAGGGGAAAGGGTCTGAGAGACAGGGATGGGCAGGGGATGGAGTGTCTCAGGGGAATTAGGTAACTGAGGAGAGGGGTGTCCGAGGGAGTGGGGATCTCAAAGGGGGGACCTGTTGCGGTGGGGGGGGAGCCAGATACAAGGGGTGTCTGAGGGGGGCTGTATGGGGGGGAGGCAGGTCTAAGGGGAAGGGGTGTCTGGGGGGAGGCAGGTCTAAGGGGAAGGGGTGTCTGAGGAGGGCTGCCTGCCTGCGGGGAAGCAGGCCCAAGTGGTGGGGGTCTGAGGGGAGCAGCAGGTCAAAGGAGGGGCCTCTGCGGGAGCACTTATGCGGGCGCTGGGGGCCCGCTCTGCGGGGTGGTGAGGCGGAGGGCAGGGCGGGCAGGGGCTGGGCCTGCCCCCTCCCAGCCTGTCGTCGGGACGGCCGCCCACCCGGTGCTGGCCGGCTCTGGGCCGACAGATGAGAGCTCCGGGCAGCGTGGGAGCTGGATGCGGCAGCCCGGGGGTCAGCCGGGAGGGGCGGGGTGGGGCCAGGAGGTTGGCAGTGGGAGAGACTTGGGGCAGCCACAGAGACAGAGGGAGACCCAGAGACGCAGAGACGGACCCTGAGAGGTCTGGCGAGAGGCGAGGGATGGAGAGACCACGGCAGAGACGGTGCGGGGTGGGCGGGCGGCGGGAGCCAGCGACTGTGAGTGAGTGAGTGAGTGAGGAGCGAGGAGGGAGGCTGGGAGCCCCTGGTTCGTGATGGGGCGCAGAGGAAGGGGAGGCTGCCGGGAGGACTGGCTGGGAGGGAAGGACAGGGCACAGGGCCGGGAGAGGGACCGGGAGCCCGGGGGACCAGCAGGCAGAAGGGTGCCCGCTGGAGGAGGCAGGCGGGGTGGGATGTAGGGGGCAAGGGCCGCGGGCACCAGGCTGGCTGGGACCTGGGTGGAGGGGCAGTGCCAGCCCCCATGACCCCCGTCTGTCTCTCCCGCCTGCTCCATCCCGTCCTCATCCATCTGTCTGTCTGGCCTCTCTGCAGGGCCAGCTCCACCATGGACTGTAGCTGCGTCTCCGACCTTCTCTTCGCCCCGCCCGCCCTGCCGGCTCTCTGGACCCCTGGTAACTGGCCCGGACCTCCCCCACCCCTTCCCCAGCCCTCGGGCCTTCCTAGCAAGCCGGCCCCACCTTTCTGCATCTCTCACTGTCTTCCTTCCACCTCCCCGGGTCTTAGTCAGAGTCGCCTGAATCCAACCCCTTCCTGAAAAACTTGGCTAAAAACTTCACAGCTAGATGTCCCTGCCACCTGCCTGCTGGGACGCGAGCGTCTTTTGGATGGCAGGTGAGGTGTGGAGGTTGGAGAGGGACAAGGAACCTGGGGCCTGAGGACCTGGGGTCTCAGCCGGCTGCAGTCTGCTCCCACCCAGGACCTGCGGTCAAAGAGAAGCAGGGAGACTGGAGAGAGGTGGGCACGGATGGGGCAGGGACGGGGACGAGAGGGGGCACTAGGCTAGGCGCTGGTGGACGAGTGGACAGACTGGATGACCCAGGCAGGGGGACATGGAGACGTGGCCAAACCAGCCGGAGCCTGGGAAAGAGGACGGCTTGCTTGGAAGTGGATCACCAGAGCGGGGATGTGGGCGCGCCCCACAATGAGAGAGACAGAGAGAGACAGAGAGGGAGAGACAGAGAGAGAGAGAGGAGAGAGAGAGAGAGAGAGAGAGAGAGAGAGAGAAGAGAGAGAGAGAGAGAGAGAGAGAGAGGAAGAGACGAGACTTGGCGCCTGGTTACTTGGGGTCTTGGAGTGTGTCTCTGTGTCACCCTTCGGTGTTTCCGGAAGAAGGGGTCACCCTGGAAAAGTGTGCATTCGCCTCTTTGTTGAGCCGGTGTGCCTGCTTGTCTGTGTACCTCCGAGGCTGCCCGAATGTCTCTGGGCTGGGCGTGTTGTGTGTCTTTGGGACTTTGAGTGGCTACATCTCAGGGCTGGGGGTGTCCGCCATCTCGCCGCCATGTGTGTTCCTGCCGCGGTGGCTGAAGGGCCTCTGACCGCGTTCGCGGTGTGTGGCACTCCGAACCGAGTGGACGGCTAATCTTGGTGCATTTCGGGCTGCGGGGCTGGGTGCTCCCCAGGCCTCTGCGTTGGGGGCTGTGTCTGTGTTTGGGGTGTGTGGAGGTGGTTCTTGCATCTGTATGTCACTGAGTGTAGCTGGATATTGGGGGCTGTGTGTCTTGATGTGTGTGTGTGTCTTGACGTGTATGTGTCTGTGTGCCGAGGTTGCAGGTCCTCCCTCTTGTTGTGTGTGCGTGTCAGCATGTACAGCACATCCCAGGACGTGTGTTGGGCAGGTAGCGTTCCGGGCTGTGCTGTGTCTACGTGTGTGGCCAGTTGTGCGTTGTCACCTTTGGGGTCGTGTGGGTGTGTCTGTGATACAGCCACTTCCCCCCGGGATGTGTTCTGGCTGTGGAACGGGCCAGAGGCCGCGTGTCCCTGTTTTCTTAGGTGAGAAAGACCCCAGATGGAGTTGAGAGAAAAATTCTCCCTTCAGGGAGGAAACTACCTGGCCTTCTGCAGCCTCAGGCAGGGAGGCAGTATTTCCCATTTTTAGATACCAGGCAGCCTTGATGCGACCCTGCTCCTCCTTGCCTCCCATTCCTGAAATTCTGATAAGCCAGAGAGGGCAAGGAACTGCCCAGGACCACACAGCAAGTAGACACAGATGGTCTGCCAGCTCGGAGTCCCCTCCCTCCCCAGCCTCCTTCCCTTTCCCGCATGGTTGTCAGCTTCTTATAGGCTAATCATGCCTCCTGTTTTCATGCCTGGTTCTGGGGTCTCTGAGGAGGGGGAAGGGGACAGAGGATGTGGCATAGGAGAAGCAGGACCCAGGGCCTGGGGCCTTGTGGATGGGAGGTGAGGTTTAGGGGTGGGCAAGAGCATCTGGGTGTCTGGACATGGGGCGCAGGACGCCCACCTGCGCGTGAGACGTATAGCACTGAGCTGTGGGTGTTAAGAGTTGGGTGCCTGTGGGGCTGGGGGTTGGGAGGCTGTTCTACTGTCATGGGGCCACCCAGGGTGTGCCTGTCAGGTTGACACACGTGTCTTGATGCTGCACTCACTGTCTCCACCACGGTGTTTCATTTGGGCCTTTGGGGTCCTGCTGTTAGTGGATCCCAGCGCTGAGGGGCCTGAGATGTGCTGTTGCGTGTGTTGGGATGGGTGTGCGATGCTCCGTATCCGGTGTGTCTGCCTTGGTAGCACATGGTGGGTGGTGTGTCATGCCCCAGCAGGAGTGTGGCACTCTGGTGCACCTGTGTCCCATGGTACAGCTGGGGGTCCCTCGAGGGTGAGTGGACGTCCGTGAGATAGGCTGTGTGCTGTGGGCATCCGCAGACACTCACTGCTCTCAGACCAATGTAGCATGGATGCGGGGAGGGGACACAGGGACGTGAAAGATATAAATTCATGGACAGGTGCAGAGACACACGTGTACACAGGCCCAGCCTGGACGTGCCAGGGTGAGGTCAGCTGGGGCTGTAAGGGGGAGGGAAGTTCAGGGAGAGATGGACAGGAGACACGGAGGGACGGGGGGACAGCAGGAATCAGGGTCTCTCAGACCAGAGCCCTCCGGGGGCAGGGCCAGCCTGGGGGGCTGTGGGGAGAATGCAGGAAGCTGGTCCCTCCTTCCCACCCTCTGCCCACGTTGTGCAAAGGTAGGGGACCAGGCTGGAACTGCCAACCCAGTGTCCCTGGACGCCGAGTTCTCTCCCTTTATTTGGACAGTTTGGGGACTGGACACCAACTGGGGCGTGAAGAGCGGGAATCGGGCCCCTAAACATGCGTGAGGCTGGGCGACTGCTCATCAGAGACCAGGAGTCAGGGGAGAGCTGGATGCCTCCTGGCTCCTGAATCCAAGGAGGACCCAGAGCCCCGGACTCGGCGCCCTGACCCGGGGCCGCACCCCTGCCTCCTGTCCCCAGGGTTTGCCTTCCCGGATTGGGCGTACAAGCCGGAGTCGTCCCCCGGCTCGAGGCAGATCCAGCTGTGGCACTTTATCCTGGAGCTGCTGCAGAAGGAGGAGTACCAGGGTGTCATCGCCTGGCAGGGGGACTACGGGGAATTCGTCATCAAGGACCCCGACGAGGTGGCTCGGCTCTGGGGCATCCGGAAGTGCAAGCCCCACATGAACTATGACAAGCTGAGCCGGGCCCTGCGGTGAGGAGGGGCTGGGGGCCGGGACTCCCACTCCCACCTCGCCCCTCTCCCCTCACTGCCCCTCTGGGCCCCTGCCCCCTGGGGGCTTTCCCTCAGCTTCCTGGGGCAGAATCCTGTGGGGCCCCAGCGCGCAGGGCTCTGCACGTGTGGCCACTGTTAAGTACCTACTTGTGAGTGAAAGGAAGGCACGAAGGAAGGGCCGGAGCCCAGGGCTCTGGAGCCACGCAGGCCAGGACCCCAGCCCCTGCCTCGCCCCTTCCTTGCCCCAGGATTTCTGCGCGCCTCAGTTTCCCCAAGTTGTTGTGCTCTGTGCTGGGCGCAGAGCACGTGTTAGGGGCTCTGCCTTCACCGCCCTGGGCCCCGCCCCCAGCATCAGCATCCTCCTTCTGCCCGCAGTTACTACTACAACAAGCGGATTCTCCACAAGACCAAAGGGAAGCGGTTCACCTACAAGTTCAACTTCAGCAAAGTCGTGCTTGTCAATTACCCACTGTTGGACGTGGCGGCAGCCACCACGGGCTCTCCACTCTTGCTGACCCCGGGTCCCTTTGGGGGAGCCCCTGGGCCAGATGCTCCTCCCCTCACCCCCGAGGTGAGTTAGGATCCTGGGATCCCAGAGCAAGGTGCTTAGTGCCATGAACCCCCTGGGGAGGTGCAACCAGTCTGAGTGGCACCCACTCCCTCCCCTCCCTCTCCAGACCCTGCAGACCCTGTTCTCTGCCCCACGCCTGGGAGAGCCGGCGGCCCGGGCACCCCTGTTCACCCCCGAGACAGACAAACTGCGTCTGGACAGCCCTTTCCCGTTCCTGGGCTCTGGTAAGGGCCTGGGGTCCAGGCGTGCCGGGGAGGGCTGTGTGAGGGCAAAGATGGGGGAGGAGACAGGATGCAGGAAGGAGGCTCCAGGCGAGGCTGTGTGTGTGTGTATGTGTGTGTGCGTGTGCACGTGTGTTTAAAAGTCGGAGGGTGCGAGGTGAGGCAGGGAGGAGGGAAGCTGGAAAGGGGGACAGGCCAAGAGAAGGGTTTTCTGGGGGCGCTAAATGAATGGGAGGCGGGTGGGGAGGTGGAGATGGGGGGAAGCCACGTGAGGGTGGGGAGATCCCGTGTGGGAGGACAATGGGAGAATCGGGTGGAATATGGCAGGGAGGTGGCACCCTTCACTAAGGCCCCGGCAGCCAGCCCCGATAGTGGGGCAGAGAGGCCCAGCCTGAACGCCACCCCCGTCCCGCCACCCCACCAGGTGCCACCGGCTATTCCAAGCCCCCCCGGCCTGCTGGGTCCCTTCGGCCGCGCCTTCCCAGAGCACCCCTGGAACTTTAGCCCGTACCTCACCGGCCCCTTCCCCAAGCTGCCCCCGCCTCTCTACCCGCCCCACTTCTACCCCAACCCTCTGGCCGGTTCCCTGGGCCACCTGCCCGCAGCAGGGGCAGGGGGAAGCCCCAGCGCTGCACCCCTGCTGGCTGCCGCCGCGGAGGGCCTAGGCCCCGAGCGCCCCTCGGGCCTGGCAGCAGCCCCTCGCCTGGCACTGCCGAGGGCTGGGGGCCCAGAGGCCGTGCTGGGGGGCAAGGACAGCGACTCGGAGCTGGAGATTACCGACGTCAGCGGCTGCAGCTCTGACAGCGAGGGAGAGGAGGGCCTCCCCGCGCCCTCCAAGGCCAAGGCGGGCAAAGGGGGTGTCGGCAGCTGAGCCCGGGTGATGGATTCTGCCAGGGCGGGGACCGGGGTGGCCGCTCGCACGGCCTCTTCTGTTGTCTGGTCTGCTCTCGATGTCCTGCCTGAGGCCGGGGAACAGCCTTCGGCCCCTCCCAGGCCCAGGCCCACGGCGGCCCCAGTCTTCTTCCCCAGCCCCAGACTGGGGGTCTCACCTCCCCCTCCAGAGAGGGGAGGGGACACGATGGCCTCCAGCTTCCTCCCCAGGCTCCAGTTTGAGGGGGTCCCCACCTGGCCCACTCCCAAAGTGCAATACGGCGCCCAGCCTTCCCTGCCCACCTGCCCCTGTGCTGTGACCTAAGTGTTCGTGCGGCCGTGTCTCCCCCTGTGCCGGCCCCAGTCCTGATGCCCCCGCCTCCATCACAGGCCCCCTGGGGACAGGGAGCTCAGAGCAATAACCCCGCCCCCAGCCCCCACCCAGAGGGCCCCCCCCCCCCGCCCCATGACCCCCACCAGCGACCTCCAGAGAGTTTACTACAAAAATAAAAGAACAGAAAGAAGTGTGAGATGCAGGGCACCCAGCGTTGTCGTGCGTGACCAGTGGGCTCGGGGGTGGGAGCTGGGACGGGTGTTGGGGGGGGGCCTGGGGAGTCACTGTCAAGGCACAGGGACGAATGAATGAACAACTGGAGAAGGGCAAAAGGCACAGAGGCGACGGGGTAGGACAGACGCAGGAAGTGATGCCAGACAGTTGTGGAGGGTTCCAGACACCACGCCCGGGCCCTTGCCCGCCCTCACAAACACAGACCTCTCCTTAGATAATATATATTAAAAAATAAACCTCCAATTCAGGGTATAAAAACAGAGCAAAGGCACTTGGGGGTGGGGGCTGCCCCCCCACCCCGGGCAATACTGAGATGGCCCAGGAATGGGGGCCAGATAGTGCCCCCATGGAATGAAGCCCTGAGTCCCCCAAGCAGGAGGGAGAGAAGGCCGAGGCCAGTGGGAGGTTCGGGGGGCAGTGATCCCAGCTGGGCCCCCCTAGGCGTGGCCCTGGCAGCCTGGCTCCCTCTCCTCAGGCCCTTGGGGTTGGAGATGCTGCGGCAGCTGTGCAGTGGCGGGTGGCCCTCTCCTTCTTGCGAAAAGGCCTGGGGGGAGGGGGAGATGTAGGAGAAGAAGGGAGATGGAGATGGGAAGAGAGATGGAGAGAAAGAGGAGAGAGATGGAGAGAGAAACAGGGAGAAAGGGAGGGTGGGGAAGGAGCACAAAAGAGCCAGAGAAACAGCAACTGACAGAGACAGACAGATGGAGGCAGGAGGCAGAGTGGGGAGATGCGAAAGTCAAAGACAGAGGGAGAGAGATGGATGGAGCTGTGCCGCGGCGAGTGCCTGAGGTAGCCACTCTGATCCCTCCTCTCCAGGCAGTGCCTGGCTCCCCCAGTCCCCCACTCACCTGCCTGGGGCAGGGGTCCTCAGGTACAGCCAGACTGGGGGACAGTGTTCTCCCCGAGCGGAGACAGGAGGAGTCTCAGGCGGCAAAACTCCTCCTCCACCTCCTGGTTGGGGATCCTCAATGAGAAGGGTCCCTCCACTGAGTCAGCCTCCTTCCTCCCCCCCCCGCCCCAAGGCCACCACCTCCAGCTGTTTAATGGTCTCCTCCAGGCTGAGCAGCTCCTCCCGAATTTCCTGGGGCTGTGCTGGGCTTGGGGGGCCGCCCCCTGGGACTCCATCGCCTTCGAGCGGAGGCCCCACCCCGCTGTCTTCCTCCGAGGGAAGCAGGAGCTGCTTCAGGGACAGCACTGGACAGGGGCAAGGGGACAGAGTCAGAGGCAGGGCTCGGGCTGGGATGGGTGGGAGGTGAGGGGTGGGAAAGAGGCCAGGGGTCTGCGGGTGGGAGTGAGCTTCCGGTTGGCCAGACCTGCAGAAGGGGCTGGAGGCTGCAAAAGGGGGTGCAGAGGTGAGGCTGGGGCTAGGGTGGGGGCGGGGCGGAGGGCACCGAGGACAGAGATGGGTCCAGGGAGAGGCTAAACTGAAGGTTAAGGAAGGGACGGGACTGCAAAAGGAAGAGGGACTTGGGGCCGCCAAGGACAGTGGTGCAGGGTCGGGGCGTGCAGGAGGTGGATGTGGTGCATGTTTCTGGCAGCTGGCCATATGGCAGGTTGGAAAGCACTGTTCCGGCTGGCGGCAGTCCTGCGGGGGTGGGGCTGAGCTACCTTTCTGAAGGGCCTTGGCGGCGAGCTGGCCCTCAGGGCCTGGTCTGCAGAAGGGCAGGAGGGCGCTGAAGATTCTCTCCATCCGGCCTGGGTCGGGGAGCAGGCAGGGGACTCAGATCCTGCTGGGCTTCCTGTGGACACCCCACCCCCACTCCGCACCCCTCCATCTAGGCTTACCGTCAGCCGGAGGCATCTCTCGGCCACCGTTGCCGTTCTCAGAGCTGCTGAGCAGGGGTTCACGGGTGCTGGGGGGGAGCAAGTGCTGGGTGACCCCGCCACCCTGGCCCTGGTGGGCAGCAGGGGCAGGGAGACAGAGAACTAGAGGTGGGGAGGCAGGGAGGTCCGGAGACAGAGACAGAGGTCAAGGCTGGGAGACAGGGAGACAGACAGGCCCGGCTGGTGGAAGACAGAGAGGCCTGGATAGGAGACAGATGGACCGTGGTGGGGTTGGCGCACGCGTGTACACACCTTCACGGGCACACGCGTGCACACGCGCGCGCACACACACACACACACATACACGTGGAGACTGGGCTGGAGCTCAGGTTCTGGGGACACACAGGGAAGCTGCCCCCTGCCCTCCACTTGCCTCCCCGGCCCCCTCACCTGCTGGGGCTGGGCCGGTGTTTGGGTCGGGAGGTGCGGGCAGGGACCTTCAGGGATCCAGCGGTCTCAGTGATGAGGGCACACCAGCTGGGGAGACAGGGCAGCCCCTGGGCAGTCAGAGCCCCCAGACCCTGTGCCAGGACCCCCCCCCCCCCCCCTGTCCCCAGAGATCCGGAGGCCTGGGCCTCCTCCCCCTCCCCCCGCTCTTGGAACCCAGAGCTGCTCACTTCTTCCGCTCCGACACGGTCTGGGCCACCAGCTCGTATATCTGGGCCTCCTGGTCCCAGGTAAAAATGACATAGAAGGCTTTGTGATCTGCAGGGGGAGGGAGAGGTGAGGCTCAAAGCCAGGGCCATCCCAACATGCACCTGGGGAAGGCCCCCATCGCGGTGGCACCTGGTGGCTCCCACGACTCAACTCACCCCCCGCCCCGCCCCCGGTGCCCCCCTCCGGAGCCCTCCCTCACCTAACCAGGAAACAAGCCCCCAGTCTGGCTCTACCTGTGAGACCCCTGGAACCACTCCCACCACCACGGCCCCTCACTGGGCTCCCAGCTCCCACCCCTGCTGCCTACAACCCCCAAGAGGCAGCCAGGGTGTCTTTTCAAAACACCAGTTAGAACTGGCTGCTCATCTGTGCAAAAACCTGGGGCGGTTCCCCATCTCACTCATTAAAGCCACAACAGGCCTGGGGCCCCGCCGTGCCCAGCCCAGGGCCCCCCCCTCACAGCCTCGGCCTTGGGCTGCCAGGCCTCCCCTTGGCCAGAACGTGCGTGCCGGGCTCCTTGGAGGGCTCCTCCCCTGCCTCGGGGACAGCTGTGCCTGGGGCCTCACCGGTGGCCACCTCTCGGGTCATGGCGGAGGTGAGCCGCAGCACGGGCCGCAGCATGGTCTTGCCGTCGGGTGTGGGCGTCAGCGTCCGGCTGTGCGATTTGAGCAGCAGCCGCTCATCCTGGCGCTGCAGCAGCAGCAGCAGGTCGTCCAGCAGCAGGACGTGGACCTCTGCAGGGGGCGAGGCCCGTGCTCAGCACGCTCACTGGACAGCCCTGCCCCGCGGCCCCCCGCTCGCGGCCCTGGTGCTCACCCACAGCCTTGTCCTTAGTCACCCGCCACGTCAGCGGGCCCTCATGGACCAGCTTCTTCTTGGTGATATCCAGGTTCTGGAGGCAGGAAGGAGTGATGGTCAGTAAAGGTGAGGGCGGGGCAGGGGAAGGTGGGGATGACCATGGGGTCAGGAGGGGCTGCCCCGCTGGGAATGAGAAAGAAGGGCGTCAGGGTTGAGGGGCCCCTCTTGCTTCCTGGGTGTGTTATCAGAGAATCCCCAGGGCGGGGCGGAGGGGAGGAGAGGGGAGGGCAGGTGGGACGGGGGCGGGGCCACCTTGAACTCGCTCAGCATGGGGTCGCTGCTCTGCCGCAGGTGGGACAAATCCAGGCGCCTCTGATAATCCTTGAGCCGCTGGGGCGGGGAAGGGAAGGGAGTGTCACTGGGACAAGCCAAGAGTTGGGGCCGGCCCACAGTGACCCCGACGGGGGCAAGCCGGGGGTCCTGCCCACGCGCACCCCCTGCCCCGGCCCGGGGCCCCGCCCAGGCTCACCAGCAGGTCCTCCATGTCGCGCACGGCTTGGTTGACGTGGTGCAGAATTTCCCTGCAGCACTCAGCCGCCAGCTCCACTTTCTCCCGTTCCGCAGGCTCTTCTGCAGGCAAGGGGGAGACCAGCCCCGGTGAACCCCAACCCTGGAAGCTCCCAGTCCCTAGGCCAAGATTAGAGACAAGCGGGCGGAGCCCAGCAGCATGGGGCAGGGCCTGCGGCTACCTGTGTTCTGCCCGATGCTCTGCAGCAGCAGCGGGTACTTGGTCAGACGCTGCATCTCCGTGGGGATCATGTCCTTCAGCTGCAGGCGGCGGCACCGGGGGCGGCTCTCGGCCTCCTGAGGGGACGGCAGTGCTGAGGCGGCTCTGCTGAGGCTGGCCTTGGGGACCGGGACGCCGGCCCCCCTCCCCTGGGACCCTGGGGCCCAGACCCCTGCCTCACCTGCACGAAGGCACAGAACCGAGGCTCCTTGCGCTGTTTGGCTTTGAGCTGCTCTAAGGCAAACGACTGGCGGCTGCAGAAGCGGGAGGAGATTTTCTGGAACCAGGAGCCCTCGGTACCATCAAACTACAGCAAGATTCAGGCCAGGGAGGGTGTCTCAGGGGGGATTGGGGGGAGCGGGGCCTCACATGGGGATGGCAGCCTAGACAGGAGGACAGGTTAGGGGCCCAGACCCCTGGGTCTTAAAGGGGTTGAAAGCTTGAGACCTGGTCTCCTGGGGCCTGCATTTCAGGTCCCCAGCCAGGAGGAGGGGGCGGGGTGAGGGGAAGGGGGGGCACCCTCACCTGGGCCAGCAGCACATCTCCGATCTCCTCAATGAGGTAGCCACTGTCCTGCCTCCGCTTCATCAGGCGATCAAGGAACAGGGCTGTGGAGAGCAGAGAGGAAAGGGGGTGCTGTCAGGGCCCGTGAGACTGGATGCAGAGCTGGTCGGGAGCTGGTGGCGGGGGTGGGGGGTGGGTCGGGCTGCAGGTGGGTGTGTCTGATCCATGGGGCCGGTGGGCCTGTCGCACCCTCACTCCCCACCACATGCTTGTTGAGGATGTGTCCCTAGAATGTGAGCTCTGGGGTTCTGGGGTGGGGTCGTCCCCAGAGCTGGAACAGAGGCTGCCCGTGAGACCAGGCTCCAGGGTTTGTCGTTGAGGCAATGAAGGAGAGAGCTGGCAATGGGACGTAGGGCCACAGCCCTGCACTCACAATGCACCTCGATGAGCTCGTCCAGGCTGGGGAAGATGTT